GCATTGTTTTAAAGGTTTTTCCACGGGAAGTAACATGATGATTCAGTGTGACGGTCGAGCCAGACAAATCGGTTTACCAAAACCATTCATCCGATTATTCTGCATCGAAAGTAGTGTTATGCGAAAAAGTAATAATAAATTGGTTTAAAACGGACAAGGCTTGTACATCCGTTAATCGTCTGATTCTGTGCTGTCCTCTTGTCTTCAACCTATTTTTGATCCACGCGGTAAGTAGGTGAGCAAACCACTGAGAAGCAAAAACATTGGTGTATTGAGGACAAATAGTTGAAGTTTGAAACGGTGAAATTCGTATGAAACTGGCAATATACAATAGCCCTATACACAATATACAATATATATACAATAATACACAAAATTCAGTCACATCACATGAATCTTCCAAACCTGAATTATTGCACATCCCGAGGACTGCTACGGAGAATCTGAACTTGAATACATCTGTTGGTTTGAATATCTACCCATTGCCTGACGATCGGCGCACTATTTATGTTCCGTCAAAACCTGCTCGCCCCCACATAACCGGGAGTAGATGCAACGACCCAACCAAATTTATGCATGAATTGTAAGTGCTTGAACAAATGCATGACTGCGGACATCCCGTTGTACATCCCTGGGCGTAATTTTGTTCGTCAGGTTGCCTCCCCGCATTTCTGCATTATTGTGTTGATTGAGGAGTTTGGGAGTAGTTTAAGAATACTCGGAGGTCAGCGGGATTAGTTTGATATGTAATCCGACCTTAGCAAACAGATGACTAACACGACAAAAACAATAGACATCTCCTTAACGCATTGTCTAAACGTTTTTCTATGCATGATGAAATAACACAGATTTTTAAACGTTTCGACAGCTCTTGTACTTAGTTCTTGTTTACGTAATCTATTACATCCTCCGTTTAAAAGAAATTTGAATGAATCCAAGTAAATCTCGTACAATCATGTCACTTCAAACATGCAAAAACGACTGATAAGTGAAGACGAATCACTCAATAAGTCTTTTTAAATGAGGTGCAACTTGCCTGGTAATTTATTCAGTAGAACGGTGTCGTCTGCAAACTCTACATTTGGCAACCCGTTACCTAAAAACGATTCAATGACACTATTCATCCAGGATGATAGAGATGTTTCTAAAAGCTTATCTCATGCAAATTTGAGAAAACGCAAATACAATCTTCTTGGGGCGAAATAAGACAAAAATTCCACACGCGCTAACTATGACCAAACAATTGAGACGAGGAACGCTTGATTTTTGGTTCACTACGGCACTCAAATATCTTTCGATTGACTAGGTCAAAAACCATTTTTGTATCCAGGATGATAGTAACAATAATTCCATGAAAGACACGCTTGCTAATTACGATTTTACGAAAGTAAAGCTATCTAAGGTCTAAAACTGTAAACTATATACATGTATCAGTAAGAAATAAAGATTGTATTTCCAACAAAATCGTTAAACAGAAAATGATGATTCGATTTCCCGACCGTATTTGACAGAACGACATAGTTGAGAGTTCATAAGTCTAATTCGACCAATCGCGGGGTCATCAAGCAACAGATGCGCAGTGAATGGTCCAATTTGCGCATGATCTCTCGCAAGCAAATGCCGTTACTTCAAACCAAACTGTTTTACGATGCATTTACTTCTGTCTATTTGTGGTTAATTAAATTTATACTCCTATCAATTAATCATAACAAGTGACAGTAAAACGCAATCACATTCAAGCGCAACAACGTTTCTATTCTTAAACCAGACTGCCAAAGCAGTCTGCTTAGGCGAATTGAATACACTACAGATAATTGTTGGAGGAAGAACACCAATGTTTTTACGCAAAAGGGTTCGGTGTCATCATGCACGCTATTTCAAAGCCCCATGACTGATTCCAGAAACCAGTCTAGAGGAGCGATGCATATTCAAAAAACGGCATGCGAGTGACAAGTAGTTCTTGCAAACCTCGATAAATGATCTATCTAAAAGGGGAAATAATCCAATGAACTCTGGGAGAATTTGGAGCTTGCGTGCACAAACGTTCTTATTGCTAAATTTGTTTCCAAGCGATTGCACTCAAAATTATATAGAGACGAGGAAACGTGCACGCATTCGTGTATGAAACTGATTTGGTTCGGGCTGTCCCTAGACAAAGCCTGATAGCCGGAAACACGAGTGCAATTATGGTATCATAAAATGAAATGCAGCTGCACAATCGTTGTTTTCTTTCCTCGCTTTTAGCTTGCTCATCCCTATTATGTCTCATTTACATGTTACTGTAATAGCCTCGAAGTGAAATTAACGAAGGCATAATTGTCCACGTTCTGAGTTCTAACTCACATAAATGTTCCCATGCTGAGGAGGGCTCCGAGTTTAATTTTTTTCTTGCATTATAAAACGTGGCGTCCTGTTCCACTGTCTCGGTCCTCCTCTCTCTTACTATCTCTATATAACATTGCTAAGCAGCTGTGATGGTCTCTTTGCGCAAAGCAATCGGAAAAGAAACGACAAATGACAGACATTTGGTCAATCAGAATGCGTTCTGTTTCAATAGTTCTAGAACAAAATCTTATTTTTTTGTTTATCTCCTACTGTTTTTGTGTTGAAACAACAGTCGTTTGACTGCTGGCGTGGATATGAAAAACTGTTTATTAGCAGGCAGCAATAAACAAAAAGGGGTGCTAATGCAGTTATAAGCGCAAGTAACGTCATAAGCATTGAAACGTGCTCTACTCAAGGCAGAAAACTAATCAGCCTCGGTTAATAATGTTAAATAATGAACTGGAAAACAAAATAACATTCTAATAATTACAAAATGCTTTTAAGGAAATATTCTTCATTTATTAACTAATTTGTTTCCGCTGCAGCAGACAATATGAGCAATGTTTGAAATATGTACATTTGCCTCAATAATATTGTTTGATCAACAAATTACCACTACCATTGTTCGGGTAGGAAATACCTCTCTTTGTTCTCCGGGGCACAGCTTATTACATAAAGCTTTGTCCTCATAAACACTTCCCAGACCCAATGTTTTGACATAAACCTTTCTTAATCATACAACGACCTAAGCGTGCGACAAGATCATACCAGCCTTTGATAATGTAACATGTGAGTAGTGAAAGATTTGAATTGGTTATATTGTGAATGTTATCGAGTACAGTGCAAATGAAGTTTTAAGTGTAACTCTATGAACCTAATTTTAACGGACTGGATTTAATCACCAGAGAAAGCCCATCTAACCGAGACTCCACTTGTTGAACCCAAGAACAAGACCCGCATGACTCCCGGGTAAGTAATTCAACCGTTTTTCATTTTAATTTGTGACACACGCAACCGTAGTGAACTTGACGGGAGCATCACTCCTTGAACATTTCAACATTCGGCTCTAAAGTTATGACTCTTTCATGAACAGACCTACCCTAGCTATTTGTTGCGTAAGAGTCGTAGAGAATTTCATATGATTACAAAGTGAAGTGATGAGACCCAGTTATATCGACAAACTATCCAGTTATTCCTAGGGTTTTAAGTAGTTTGATTTTCTCTGTACAGGATAATATTCAGTTCACAGCTATCTGTCACTGAAGAATGTCAAACTTTATCTACTGATCTGATTTGATGAACCTGATTGGTCAAATGTGATGTAGTGATGAGAGATTTGGAAAACGTATTTGAGAGTTTGTTATTCCTTTACTCGTGGTTTAAAGAATATTCCGAAGTAGCTAATAGATTTGCTAGAATTTTCCTCCTTGAACATAACTTTGATTCACCTAGGGACAATCTGAGAATTTTTACTCATTTCATGAAATATCACGAACCCAATTGTTTATAAGAAAATGAAAATTGCTCGTTTTTTGTGTTTTAGAATGCTAGATAAATGAGGGCAGAATGAAATGCCGTGGCTTATTTTTACAGGAATGGCGTGTGTCAGGCAATAATACCTGTGTTGATCGTTATCGCGTAGACATTCACATCACTGACTATGAGCACTTAGCAAAACTGTTGAGAATTTGTGTCTGTTTTTCTGTGAGCGGTACAACTAAAACAATGTTCAAGGTTACGTTTTCCTCCATAAAATCATAACATTCAGAAGATGCTATAAGTGAGTATGAGTTTTCCGGATTTCAGGTTTACAGTTCTAGTTTGGTAATTTTCTTGGTTATGAAAGAGAGAAGAAAGCTGAGAAGAACATCTCAAGACGACTAATGCAGAACTTTCTTAGTAACGAAGACATAGGGGCCATGCTTTGTCAAATAATTCTCTCATCAAATAAATATTTAATATTTCATACGCAAATACAGTAGATTTCATAAAGCTCAGATAAATAAAGATCACCAAGCACTAAAAAATTAAAATGAATGATCCAATTAAAACGAAAAGCCTGTCATTCACACAGGAAATGAAATAGCCACCTAAACGCAATCAATTATTAACTAATCAATAACGTTCTGAGTAAATATCTGAATGGTCCAGATAATGTTTTTTCGGAACCTCAAAGAGCGGGAGAGTGAACGAGACAAACAGATCAAAGTCTATTTGTTTGATGTGATGAAAGCTGCGCAAGAAGCATGTCAACCTTGTCGCGTGTTATAATTTGTCGCAGAAAAGTCCCTTGGGATTGAACACTGACGAATGATGACGAAAAACAAAATCATTTCGCTTTCGGAAATCCAAGAGGGGGAGATTCGGATAACTTGTTTCGTTTTTGTGTCAGTCGATTACAGGATTCCTTGTTAGTAATAGCCAATCTGCACCCAAACATTAGGCGAAGATTAACCTATATTCCCTGGTGAGGTTTGTCACGGATCTAGAAAATCTCTAATTATATTCCTGTAGTGAATAACTCATTTGGAAAGAGAGGCATAACTAAGTTTACAAGTTTTCCGTCTTCCAAGAAACTGAATTAGAACTGTCCAACGGATAGCTGAGAAGAAAGTTTTGAGATGTAGCCTCGTGCTGATCCGTGAACAAATCAAAAATACCAAACGTTTTAGCACAAAATGAACCGGAAAAAACAAAGAAACGTAAGCCGAAGAAAGTACCCAGTGTTGAGAAATTCCTCTATTTAGGTATTTTGTATAACACGTATATGATTATGCACTTATTCAACCTAGTGAACATTTGTTTGCTACTAACCAAACAACAAACACGTGAACACTTTGTGTGCTCAAGAAGAGTCCGGTGATTACAGATGAAATACGTTTTCAACACTTGGCTTCTTTGACGAATAAAGAGTTCTCGGAGAAATGATTTTTGGATAAAAGGAGCCAATTTTGATGAAAAAATAAAAGGATCCCCAGTTCATTCTCACGCGACAAACCAAAAACACCCTAATCTCTCCTAATATTAACGCAAAACTACGAGTAGGTCAATTTTCCAAACTATTGAGCCTACTAATTGCAAATTTAATCACACGGCAATCTAACGTGGCTCCTAAGGAAGCACTGGTTACTCATGAAGAGCTTACTCGTAAGACACCTGTAGACGTGCAGCAGTGATTGGCAGAAGATTTTCAATGGTGAGTTGCAAAAACGTTTATTGCCTTTACGGCGTTCAGTCGAATATGTCAAAACCAATCTGCGTATATCCCTAGCCGACACCTGGAGATGCGATTTTCCAGGTTTTGTTTTTTGGAAAGTTTGAAGTATTTTAGTTGTGATTCAACTGCAAAAGATTTAAGAGCCTCAGGGAGACTCGAATCTGAGAATCAATCATGTCTGTGCTACCGCAGCCTAAGCTTACCAGGTAAAGTTTTAATCACATGTGCTCAAATTGGAGCGAGCAGCATGATCTTTTGCCTTAAGGAGATGAGTGTATGTCCTTACCTAGGCTCAGTGACCGACAGGTCTCTTGAGCTTTAGATAATTCGATTGAGATCCTACACAACAGAAAATTTAACAACAACATTAAAGGATAATTCACAGACATATCTTCCATTTGTTCTGATTGTCCATCTAGTTTCTTTTGGTTCTAAAATTAAGAAGAGACAATATATGCTGATGGCAATAGTCAAACACAATTTGAATCATCATTATTGACTCACATATTTGAGTTTGTTTGTACTCGACGAGATCGGCTCCGAGTATGCCTCCTTCGTCTAGTCGTTTGCCACTGTTCCCGTATTTGTATGTATGAGTGTCACAAATTGGGGAAGTTGGATAAATGATTAATCGAATGGAGAATATTCGTTCATTCTAATCATAAAAAACAAATTTGAAGTGATCGAAAAAAGACAAACATATCTCATTGATTCACTGTCGTGGAATTTCTCAATTTTTCCAATGAAGTCCCATGGATTGCAGAATTCGTGAATTGTTATACCAGTGAACGGATTTGTTTGAAACGACCATGAAACGGTGTGCAGTTATCATTTCTCCAGAGGTCATCAAAATACATTTAGAAGGTTTCCGAGCTAACCCAGAGAAAAGATGCATATCGTTGTTCTTCACGCGACTACTAAAAGCCTCATGAATAAATGGTTGCGTTCACACCGGTGGTTTGCTCGGTCAATTTCTTTAAGCCATGAACTGAATACTGCTTACAATAATTACCGAAAGCCAAAGGAGTTTATACGCCAACGCGAATTTCCAGATCTGTCGCCTTTTATCTATTACTTGTCTATTTTAGAGTTGATCTTTCATTTATTGCTTGGAACTATCAACGTTTACGCTCACTTTGAACTGTTTGACGAGCACTGACGATGCTTTGTTTCTCGCCATTCGAGGAGACACGAAATGAATCATTTGATACTGGTTTCATGTATTCGATGGTATCAATTAACTTCAGTAATGCATGGGTTTTCACTATGGTTCTCACTCATCTGGATTCATTGTAGTCAAACGCGTGTGATATTAGTCTCTTGATAAAATAGTCTTAAATTTGGCTGACATGGTGCAATCACCAAATCACCAATCGGATTTATTAAATTTGTATGCTTTTAAATCAGTTACCAAGGATGTAACGAAACAACAGAGGTTTCCTTGTTTTTGTAAGCAACACGATCAAATGCCGTCTTTCATCAAGATTCGTTATAGTGATTCTGGTGGCTGATCTTATAGATATTTTTGTACTAAAATCTATTTCTTCAAACTAATTTGCACAGTATTTCCTCAATTGTTTACAGATCAATACTTTTACACTCGTGATCGATTACAGCCCAACCGTGAAATGCTGATTATTTTCAATTCATTTGAAAATAAATGAGTTAACATTACGTCGGAATGGTCAGTTTGCAAATATTTATGGGGGTACATCCTTGAAAGTTAATCTATTTTTTATTCAGTAATGGAAATTCCTTGAACTCCTAACTGGTTATTTCAAGGCAAATAAATCTTACTGTAGGAAAAGTTTTCTTTATGGAGGAATGTGTGAAGAAGGTTAGGAATACAGTACACACTACTGTTCCCACTACCCCACGGCTTTACCCTTCGACAGTGCACCTCTAATTGTAGCACAGCCAAGCACTACCCGAAGGTCAAACGTGTGACGATGATAGAATTTACAGTGGCAAGTCAAATAAACGAATCTGTCTACGGATATTCGTGACGTTTTCTTGCAAAACACACTCAGTGGTCACCCTCGGTCACTCATTACCACTTATTTATTGGAGCGTTACCAATGTATGCACGGTTATTTATTGAAATGAATGTCCATCTATCGGCGGCCTGAATTTGCTCCTGGTAACTTGCAGCTTTGGTGACAGTTTACTCGTGTTAAGGTACTCATCTCTCGGGTCAAGTTAACGAGAAATGGCCAGTATGGTAAATAGAAAGGCCCAAAAACAATAAGTACATGCGTTTTGTACCTCACATTAGCCGTTGTTTCTGCATCAACTGATGGTTTTTCTCTTTTTAATACCACTTGTTTTAATATTTATTTGTTGTATTCGACGTTGACCAGGGCAGGTGTTCTGTCAGTTCAACTATCGCTGTATTACCCAATCGGTACATGCCTGTTTCAACATAATCGTTACCTACCACTGAGTGGCACTCACTTTTCTAGTTGAGAAAGTTGATCAACCTTGTCAGGTGCTTCTGAACAATAACTACACGGACTGGGGAAAAGCATCTGCAAGGCATAGAATGCACTAAATTTGTTTCCTTACGGAAATTTTACGTTTGTGTTGAACTACGCGTCAATGTGAAGAATTTGGGTAGTTCTAAGTTTCCCTATTTATGTAATGATTTCAATCACATAGACGTTTTCTGGATACTATGGACATCTCGATAAAATGTGGGTTCACAAGATGGTTACTCCTCGGTGCAAGAAATCCGGATTTCAGACTTGTTGTATAATATTCCTGTAAATTTGAATATGGCCAAATAAATATCTTACTCTGGTTGAGTACTCCAGAGGATCATCGTCATACGTCACACCAAATATGTTACTGCAATGTCGACAGGTGGATTGTCTACTGGCATTTAGAATGGAATGATCTCTGGATTTCATCTCAAATGGAGACATGCTGACCGAACGAATGATAGCCACGCGTTGATTTGTCGGTGTCTGAGTGCCTGAGCTTCTCCGTTCCCGCCCGATCATGTGGTACGTGTTCGCGTGGTCGTCCGTTGATAGCGTGAACAAACCGGGCTCACTTAAAGCACTGGTGGGGCTAGATAGATAGATGTAACGGAAGGCATCACTTTTATAGGGGACAAATAAAAGATAAATTTACTCAAGAATTTTACCGTCATTGTTAATTCGTTAATTCATTTTAGTTGTTTTTTAATGCCGGTTTATTCTAACAGTTGTTTAAACTAAATTCAAACAAACGGGATCTTGACACATTCGGCTACAATAGCACAAACGACATTTAGACATGGTGTAACATATACGAAAAGAGGTCAAGCAGCTTATAATGTGTTATTTTCCCATATAAATCCAATGGCCATGAAGGCAACATTTCCTACGGAATAAACAGCTCTGTCTACCGCGGAATATAAGCCAAACGAAGAGCAGAAAGACGAATAACTGCTACAACACACCACGAACATTCTTAATAGTCTGCCAAATACCACCCAAACCGAATGGAATTGTTGCGTGTTTACACAACGTATAGGAAGGTGATCATCTTTCGATTGAACACCTGAAAGAAATGTGCTCAAAAAACTTCAGTCCAAGCCAACCCAACTAACCTGAACGCACATGATACACGACAAATGCATTGCAGAAATGTTATGGTGATGCAAAAGCAATCCACTCCTCTTGCATCCACCGACATTCAACTGAACACTATAAACTTTGACTGATTGAAATAGAATCCACACATATCGCTTTCTCATTTTCTTGCTGACGCTAGTAGACGAACTCCATTGAGGGCTGACCACGTGCATTCATGTTATGACGCTTGTATGATAGTTGCTGTTGTGCAGCAAACCGTGCAGCAACTCTTTCATCCGACGGATATATGTTCTGCGAAAAACCTTGTTTGTCACTGGGTTCATCACTGTCCTTCTCTCTATCACTTGAGTTGGACATCATTTCAAGCCAACTGGATATAAAAGTTGCCTTTAACTGGTCGTTTGTAAGCTTTAAAAATGAAAGTGCAAAGTTCTCGGTTAAGACAGAAATGCTCTTGAGTTTTGATAGCAATACTGTTGTGATCTACATTGTTTCGGGAGCACTATATAATACTCCTATGAACCTAGCAAGCTCATTAAAATTCTCTTCAGGTAACGGAAGGATTGCTGATATACACCGATTTTTTATTTTCGAATAATCGAAAAGATGAAAGGTGACGTAATTATTTAATTTATTTAATTATTTATTTGAATATTCAGAAATCAAAACTCAACTGTGCCCAGCCATCCGCTTGATGAAAGCGTCGCAGCGCATTGCACAACCGCCTTTTCAATCCAGTATATTCATACTGATCCTGATATATCTCGGGAATATTTAACTATTTGGAGTGGACTCCCAAATCTCAGTATTAAAACGATAATTTCCTACTGGTATATACTTAAACAAACCAAAAGGAGAGGGGAGAGAGATTAACAATGATTTATACTAATCGTTTTCTTTCTTTTTCTTTTCCTTTCTTTTCTTTTTCATTTTTACTTCCTTTTATTGCATACACAATGATACCATTTTCAGGAAGGGAGAAGCGGCCAATCAAAGGACTGCCATACAACACACAAATGGAGAAGTCAGGCGGTGGTGGTGGGATTCGAACACACATCCTCCGGGGTGATAATTTGATGACGTTACAACCGGGTCACTACCGCTCTGGGATTCCCTTTATCCTGCAATCCTCTGTTAATGCGGTTAACCATAAACTTGAAAGAACACAAGACAGGAATTGAAAACCTCGCTGGGGCTTATTGTTTTATTATTATTATGAATCTAAAACCCATTCCATTGCAGGGGCATTTAATACCACTGGACCAGCCAACCGAACCCGGGATTGAATAAATGTATTGCTTTGAGTTCAATACATACCGAAAATCTGGTCTCGAAGCTTCAGTGGGGGGCATGGGCCAAAACCTGAACAGAAGATGTGATTCCGCGAAAGGACTTAAAAGAATATAATGTACGGTATAATATGCCCGAGTGTGCTAGTGTCGGGTCTAGGACTGACCGACCAGCATTGGAACCGACAAATTCTGCCAATCCGAGACGAATCGGAAATTGCGATCAGAATAAAACAACTCAAACGTGACTACACATCTCCTCAACCTCATACTCATTCATTCGGCTTCACCTCAACGTGATCGATGAGGCGCGTATATATGTGTGTTATTTAAACAGTCTGTCAAACCGTTAGTAACATCAAACAGGGAACCAATGCGACGAACAATTTTTCCCGCCCGTTTAATGATACCGTGCTCCCCTTTTGCTTAATCAATCGTGAAGCAAACTCCAAAGCAGGAAACAAGTATTGTTTATCAACCTTATTGACAGGGTCCTTTCCAATCACTTTGTATCTACCTTTAATCCATTCACATTCAGTGCTTGTTGGAAGCGGGTAAAATCTATCATTCCACACTTAATTTGTACGTATGTGAAAAGAACTAGTGATGTTAATCGCTCATTCACAAAAAAGACAATCGTAGGCTCCGTTTGTGTAATTCAAATGGTCCGGATGAATTAATCGTTCGCAGTGAGACAAAAAACGACCAACTGTGTTTTCTGTATGAAGATCGCGGGTACGTTTTGCCAAACGGTGCGAAAATACATTACACAGACAGCTCAAGTACACCCTCCCCCAGCCGTATGGACTCTCGAGAAATCTAACTGTGAGTCTCTACTCAACCGTAAAATACGCTCACCGCGGGACAGGGAAACGAGAAACGTTATTTGCTCAACAACTAACACCATTGTACTACCTCGGTTGCACTAGATTGCGTATTAAGCCTAAATAAATATAACATCTCAGTAAAAAATATATTTGGTACTGACGGGAACAACGGAGACAAATGCAAGATGTTAAGTTTGCAACGGGGTCTGAGGCAATGAGTTGCAGAAAATAAAAATAAAATTAATGAAATGAACAAAATCAAAAAGGTTACTTTCTTTCGACGTACTAATAAGCACTAATAATGACATGAGCACACTAAATGACTTCGCCCCGACCAACGCAAACAAGGTTTAATCGACGGTTGAAACCCAATTAGATATTAGGAACATCTGTGGCGAGCGTACGAGAGATAGTGAGAGTGAACTGAACGAAGCCACGTCTGTGAGGGAGCATTTACATGTGCGAATGTAGTCTTCCGGGTGTTTGTGTGCAAGCATACTTCATATATGAACATACACGCATATATCTATAAATTCGCGGCAGATCGAATATGCTAACATTAAGAAATCGTTAGTGCGCGTGGTAGCTCGAAATGAATTCTTCCAATGCAAAACGCAACATGACATTTGTTTAGTGAGTCACCAAATCTGTTTTGCCAATGGTGTTACACCAAATCGCACTACTTGTGTTCTGTATCGCCTTTTCTCTGAACCCCCATTGCGATTTAGTAGGATTCCATCGGAAACGTAATGACTGAAAGTGGTTGAAAACGATCGATAAGTTTCGCAGGATAACCGAAATTAAAAAACACATCTTTATGTACTGATGAAGTGTTTATGTATGCATCTGTATTGGCTGCATCGCGGAAAGCAATACTAGACAAAGATCCTTTCAAAGTATATCGTACTGGCACAAAGGTATTTGATCCTGTGCCTGAAAGGCTACATATTTTGTGCAAATTCCTGGTAGCGTGAACGCATGACAATTTATTGCCATATTCTCTGAAGATTAAATAATCCATACTTGATCGTCCTTGTCCTATTACACAATTGCAATTACAAGAGTGGCCTTGCTAACAATATCCAAACACGCTAAACATTCAGGAGAAGGTATCACGACACTCCATTAGTCTACATGTTTTAAAGTACACCTATGGCCAAAGCAAGTTGAAGATTTACCACAGAACCGAATCACTTCAATACATTCTCAACCAAGTTAAATATACGTATGGGTATAAGTATGTTATTGAAGTTAGTAGATATTACCGGATACGCATACCGGATGAGCAGCGAGAACAACGAAACCGGTTGTATGCTTCCAGGGAAATTTAGTCTATTCATCCATATAATATCAAAGTGTAAAATATGTGAGGATTTCGGGTGCCTGAAAGGTAGTTCACGAGGAAGAATATCCAAATTGAAAAATGTTTATAGAATAAAATCTTATGCCCTAATATAGGATTCCATAAATTGGAAGTAGATCATATTACAAAAACGAAGACTAATCATGCGCGTCACATATTTATTTTGTCGCAGTGATTTTGAACATTTCTATTGTTCCCTATGTTTGTTACTCATAAGTAGCCAAACCAGTAATGTGCCAGCGAATTCAAACGTACCGGCTCACGGGATTCGCACATACTACTAATAAAGCGGAGCAAGTCGCTACACCAATAATGTTTTCGGCTGTCAGCGCATACCGTCCAGAATCACCCAATGTGGCATGCTTAATAACCAGGGTGTACGCTTCTCCGTTGCAGACGAGGCGACGACGAGGGTCATCCTTTTCCCCTTGTTTACCATTGACCGTCCAATGAACCTAGGGTTGTAATAACATGGAAAAAATAGTGTAAAGAGTTTCATTCATGAACTCCTTCTTTGGTTAATTTCATGTCATTGCATAACTACTCATTTGTACACAAAGCTATTTTTGAGAGCAGCATTCCGTCGATTGAAATGAGGGTTAATGCATTGTACAGTGCCATTCAGACAGGTCGAAATTGTAATATGAAGGTTTCTAACGAGGAATATAAATGAGGATAATTGATAAAATTATTGTATTCAAATTACTGATAATTATTTAATTGATTTGACGGACTATCCTTCGAACCTAACCTTCAAGCATAATCCGCAGTTTAGCGATTAACTATACATTCGGAAGCACTAGACTCGAGTTTCGCTCTTATTAGAGATCATCAGTAGTGCATATTCACCGTCCCGTCCGGGCTTTGAACTCAGGAACGATCCCATGGAAGGCGTATGTGTTACCACTTAACCGATTTGCCAATTCATGTTTGTTCGGGTGTTGTCTTCAGTGATAGTCAGTTAGATCATTTGACCCAACAGCAATAAAGGGAGACACAAATAACAATCTGTTAATCTCCATCGAAAGCCTCCCACCAAGTCAGAACTTCTGTGCAGGGTACGGGCTGAATTGCCACAAACCAAACAGATTTGAATGATAATTCACATTTAACTCACGGTTACTTGTGAGGATTGTACATGAAGTTGAAGTACTAAGGATGGTCAATCAAATCAAACCATACCCTTACTCACAAGTACCTGAGAGTTAAATGCGAATGTTAATTAATTCTGTGACATATGGATTGTTGAAAACAAAGGAAATTCTGGTTTCATCTAATTCAAACAAGTAGTTTCCGACTAACATAATGTAACGTTCGACATTGAAGTTCCTCGGAACAAAAAGTGATTCGGTTTTGATATCTCTCGGTGTAAATTGCACGAGGCTCTTCAGGGAAAACGTTACAACCCGAAAAGCATTTGTCACAGTGGAGGTTCCTATTTAGACGCTTCCATCTAAATCTGCCTCATAAATTGTGTCTCTGTTTAGCGTCGCGAAAAAGTTTTGTAAATACAGACCAATTGAGCGGAATTATAAGTAAGAACTGAATTACAAAACAAACTATTCTAGCATCATATCATCATTTTGGCAAAATATAGAGCAAGTGCATGAAAAAATGACTTCAGTTTCGTCTATTAAAGTTCGCGTGAATATTCATCATGAAAAATCGTCCATTGACATGATTAATTTATCTAAATTCCTTAGCTAATGTATGAGAGTCTGTGAATTCAATCAAACGTAAGTAGCATACCAAGCGCTTGGTGCATGATGTTCTTATCTTTAACCTTTGTTGATACTCACAAGTAGTTTGGGGAGTATTCACTAGTCAAGTGACTAGGTACAAAGCGGTGCTCGAACCTAGAAGAGAGCTATACGAATTGATTCGGTGAGTGCAAAT